CATTTTAGAGATGAAGGGACTGAGGGCCAGAAAGGTTAGCGAGTTGCTAATGGTCACCCAGATGATGAGTTTCTGACTAAGGATTTGTATCCTGACTGCAAGGCTGCCCCAGCTGCCTCTCCTAACAATCTAGTGCTTTAAGGTTTGCTAAGTAGATTTAGATTTAGATTTAGAATTTGAAGGTTGTCTTAGGCCCAGATACTCATAGATTGAGAACTGGAAGGCTATCTCCTTCATTTCACAGATGAGGAAGCTGAGGCCCAGGAAGGGTTAGAGTCACTATTTATAGCTTAGAACTAGAGATGAACTATCTCAGTCCCCTTGTTTTATAGGTGAGGGGATGGAGGCCCAAAGAAATGAGATAACTTCTCCAAAGTCACATTGGTAGCAAATGAGAGTCTGGGACTTGGAACCAATGTCCTTTGACTCTAAATCTGGAGCTTTTCCCTCTGCATTGGGGGAAAGGAGAGCTGTTAAAAAAATGTGAACCTGGTGTGTTTGAGACACTGATAGGAAATCAACTTAATTCTCGTGGAAATGTATGGATTGTAGGGAAAGAATTATAAATATGTGCTTATACATGGAATATCCTTTGTTTAAAAAAACAACAAATCCCAAACCCTGTGTGATGAAAGGAGATAATGCCTGTGAAAGTGTTGGAAAATATTAAAAGGATCCCAGGAAGGTATTATTGGTAAGAGGCAGTGTGGTATAAGATCCAGGGCTGGGCTTGGGGCTAGGAAGAGCTGGGTTCCAGTATGAAAAATCTACTCCCCTTTCCCTGCAATTATGGAAGTCAGTGGTATCCCTTCCAAATCAGGGAGGGTTCCTGCTAAGGAATGAAGGCACTTCCCCCCAACAGTGTCACCACCCTGGCTCTTAGACTCAGCTCCAAAGTTTGTTATCTTATCCTATTCCCCTCTCCCCCCACCCCCCTGGAGAAGAGCCTCAAGGCTTCAGCACCAGACACTTTCTACACTGTATCCAGGGTTGAACTGCAACCCTCTGCCCTCAGAGGCATACACAGAAGGAGAGGAGTTTGATGAATTTGGGAGCAGAGTGCTGTCTAGGTAGTGTGGCCCCCAACTGAAGATTCTAACAGGAAACGCACAGAGGACAGAGGTGCAGGAGAGAAGCAGAAATGGAGAACAGCCTTGAATGCACAGGAATTTAGGATGCAAGGACTGAGAAGAGGCTACCAGATTTGGCAGATTTACTTCTGAAATATAACTGATGCTCTTCAAGACAGTCATTTTGGGAGTGTGGTGAAGGGAGGCAGGGAGTAGGGTGTTGGAGTCCAGATTGCAAAGATGGTGGTGGGGAGATAGAAAGCAGCAAATGTAGACCACTCCCAAGAAATTTGGCAGTTGCCTCTATCCCTTCATTGCAAAAGTAGGGGACATTCAGAGGATGTGGAATGATGCATACGCTGTCAGACCCAATAGAAATTGTAGGTTAGTTTTGCCGAATTGCTCTCTCTCATTCTCTCTCTCTTTTTCTCTCTTTCTCTTTCTCTGTCTAAGGGATGGCTCACTAGGTACAGGAAAGCTACATTCAGAAATGAATGTGTTGGAAAAACAAAAGGCATTGATAAAAATAAGATTTAAAAAAAATGGCAGTAGAAGGGAAGCAAGAGGAGGTGGGACAACAGCTTGAAGGGCCATCAGGGTGAAAGGAAGATTTTTCTTTTCTTTTTTGAAACCTGGACAAAGCCTTGAAGGAATCTGGAGAGAATGAGATACTTACTCTTCTAATACAGGAGGAAAGGAAGAGGAGATGAAGTAAAAATACAGAGACATTTGGAGATGGAGCACAGGGAGCCTTGAGGAGGCTCATGTGGGATGACTTTGCTTTAAAGGTCAAGAAAGATCAATAAAGTATCACATGGCAGTGGTAGCTGAGGGCTTCTGAAAGACATCATATTAATAATAACAATATATATTTAGATAGTCCTTCAAAATTTGCAAAACATTTTGCCTAACTTTCTCACTCGAGTCTCAAAACAATCCTGTGAAGTATCACAGATATTATTATCCTCATTTTTCAGATGAAGAAATTGAAGCTCATAGACGTTAAGTCGCTTGCCTACACACAATCCTGAGCTTTTTACACTGAAGGCTTTGAAACCCAGTTTTAAAGTTGATGAAAACTTAATGATTAACTTACGCTGATATAGTGCTTTAATATTTGAAAAGTATTTCCCATTCTCTACATTCAGTCATTCAACAGACATTTATTAAATGCCCACTCTGTAGGGAGCGCTGAACTAGGCTCTGGGGACCTACAAAGATTAAATAAGACAGTCTTTCTTTTTTTTTTTTTTTTTTTGCTTTTTGGTGAAGCAGTCAGGGTTAAGTATAAATAAGACAGTCTTAAGGAGCATGTGGGACAGCTAGGTGGCACAACGAATAGAGCACTTGCCTGGAGTGAGGAAGATGACTTCAAATCCAGCCTCAGACACTTATTAGCTGTGTGACCCTGGGCAAGTCACCCTGCTTGCCTCAATTTCCTCATCTGTAAAATGAGCTGGAGAAGGAAATGGTGAACCACTCTAGTATCTCTGCCAAGAAAACCCCAAATGGGGTTATGAGGAGTCAGACACCACTGAAACCACTGTACAAGGAGCATCTAGCAGGCAGAGATGAAACGTGAACACAGATGACAAACAAAACAGAAATTAGAATATGAAACAAGTATAAAAAGAGTATTAGGAGATGACGAGGGGGTTCAACTGTTGGCTTGTTTTTTCATTTCCTTTTTATCTTCAGATCTTCTACCTGATTAGAGAAAGCTGGGTAGTGCTGCCTGGTCTGCCTCAGTTTTCTCAGCTGTAAATGGGGCATCATGATAGTAGCTACCTCTCAGGGTTGTTGTGACAATCAAATGCAATAATATTTGTAAAGCACTTAGCACAGAGCTTGGCACCTAGTAAGTGTTTAATAAATGTTTCCTTCCTTCCTGATCTACCCTCTACCAGACTGCAGAATATTGGAGCTGGAAAGATTTTAGGGACCATCTAATTCAAGTCCTTTTATTTTTCCTAAATGAGGAAACAGATCTAGAATAGGGAATAAACTTGCCCAAGGACATATACAGTAGGTGTCAGAGCCTAAGATATTAACCTAGGTCTCCTGATGCCAAATCTGGTGGTTTTTTCCCACAACCCCCAGCACCAAGAATCATAGCGCTAGAGCCGGAAGGGATCTTAGAAGCAGTATAATCTGACCCCTTCATTTTACAGATGAGAAAATGAGGCCTGGAGGTTTTAAGTGACTTCCCCAAGGTTACACAGAGAGTAAGGAGCAGAGCTGGGATCTGATGCTAGATTTTCCAATTCTAAATCCAGTGCTGTTTCCAACAAATGATTACTTTTATTTTTGCTTTTTAAGAGTTTTGTTGTTGTCTTTTGTTTTTATACTAATTCCCCCTTAAATCTTCTCCCCTCACCCTTTGAAACAAAACAACAGGAAATTAAGCAAATTCAGTCAGTACAGCTATTGCATTGGGCAATGTGTACCTCTTTCTGTATCCATCTCACCTAATTCTGTAAGGTATGTTTCTTTATCAGTGCCCCAGGCCAGAGATCTCTTATCCCTTTTCACATTTCTCCAGGTCTAAGCAGGAATGGAGCTGAGCTGACTGGCAGGGTGCCTGCTTAAGGGATGTTGTCTTGTCCAGATTTCTTTGGTTTGGTAAAATGTCCCACCCTGCTTGTGAGGCAGTGTCCTGGCCCTATCTCTTTAGAAAAGGCTTTACTAACAGCTAGCTATGGTGCTAGTGGTGGGTGGATCTAGCTCCCTGGCAGTGCCACCCCATGGGAGAGACCGAGGCCAAGTATTATGGATTTGTTTTAATTCTGCCTAGGAGATGGGCTGAGAAGCCTGTGTAGGAGGCTACACGTTAAGACAGAACAAAATGCCATCTCGATAATGGCTAGCATTTGCTTTGAAAAGAACTTAAAAAGTTTTTATAGTAGTTCTAACTTTTTAAGCTGTAGAGCTCTGAGCCCTCAACTGGTGATGTCTGGGGATGGTTTAGTAATGACAGTGTAGGAAGAGTTATACTTTAAAGAAAAATACTTGAAATAAAGTACAAATAAATCAGCCAAAAAGGAGCTGTTGGTTAAAACAATGCCTCAAGCAATTTTTTTTTGTCTAGGGGCCAATCTAAGAACAACTTCAACAGCATATAATTTCTATGGGTTTTTCTTTAAGTTCATTTGCAAAGACAGAATATTGGATTGGTAGTCAGCAGACTAGGGTTTGAATTGCAGCTGTTCCAAACTGTGTTAACTTCAGGCAAGTCATTGAACTCTAGAACTCAGTTTCCTACAAAATTAGGACCCTGTCTGTCCCAGCACTAATAACCCTTGCATTTTTCTATAAATCTACTATCTCTGTGACTTTGGGCAAATCATCTCTTCTCTGGACCTCAGTTTTCTCATCTCAAAAATGGAGGAGCTTGTCCTCCAGGGCCTTGAATGTCCTCTCCAGCTCTGACCTTTTCTGAGAGTTTAGAAGATGTCTCGTTTTTAGTCAAAATATCCATGTGGCATGAGTAAGTGTGAGGTTCTCTTTGCTTCACCTGCATAATCTGAACATGAAGACTGAAAAAAGCAACTAGGCTAGAATGGGATTTGAAGACCGGAATAGCTGGGTTCAGATCCTGCCTCTGGAATTTATTAACTGTTTGACTCAGAAGTCACTCACTCTCTCTGTTCCTCAGTTTCCTTTTGTGTAAAATGATGGAGCTGGATTCAGTGGCCTCTAAGACCCCTTCTAACTCTAAATATATGATTCTAAGAATGCCATCCTGTTAAATTATGTGCCATAATCCAGCGGGTGAAATGTCTTTATCTCATTCAAAGTGCAAGGAGATTGAGGAAAAAGGGGGAGAGAGAAGAGAGGAGAGAGAGCGAGAGAGCGAGAGAGAGAGCAGGAACTGTAAATAGGCACCATCAATCATAGGGCAGTCATGAACATGCACATGTTGGTACCTACTCGTTATTGGCAGAAATCAAGAAGTCTCCAGAGCACAATCTTTGGAGATTTTTTTTCCTCCCTTTCTCTCGTTTCTCTGAAAAGCTGTGTGTCAGCACAGGAATGGCAGGTGCGTTAACTCTCGGAGAACGAGTTTATGCCCCAGCTCGGGGGAAAAAAAAAGTGCCGACACAGAGAGAAATCACGCGCCAGTCAAGTTCCTGGACTTGGCTCTTTGCTTCTGAAATGGATGAAGAAAGAAAATTTGTTATGAGGAAAATGGAAAAACCCAGAAGATGGCCATATGGCTAGCTTAGAGGGCACTGACAGACTGATCTGTACCTTGCCGAGTCCTGCCCAACAGCTCCTCTCTCCCAAAGAAGAAGGTAGGCAGAGGTGAGATAACTTGTTAGGATCAGTATGGGCAGCAGTCATTATTATACCCCTGATTCACCTTGCCACTATTATACCTGGATTCATTGTGTCCTCAGTCCTCTTTAGATTCACCAGGACTGATTGCTCATGGCTCCTTGGAGATTTTGTTGGTCATCAGTCAACAAGCTTTTACTGATTAATGCCAGTTATGTGCTGGCTCCTGGGGATACAAAAATAAAACAACCCCTGCCTATCAGTACCTTATATTTTATCAGGGGAAACAACATATATGTATGTATGTTGAGAAGCCATGCCATCAAACCAACCAGTCAACATGGAATCATGGTGCACTTGTCACAGGTCTTTAGCTTTGTGATTAGAGGTGTGGAGAGTAGAGACGGAGTCCATAAGCCAGTCCCTGCCCTCATGGAGTCAGCCTACTGTAGAAGTTAGCAGATGTCCTCTGGTGGTTCAATGGATCCATGATTTCATCAGTTGAGTTCAGTTCAATTGGTCAATCATTTATTAAATACCTACCGTGTACCAATTACTGAAATAGAATAAAAAGACTAAAGTGAAATAATTTCTACCCTCAAGGGCTTGTTTTTTACTGAGGTAAACAACATATTCTCAGGTAACCAAATAACAATTATATACAATTTACTCAGGGAAATATAAAGTAGTTTTGGTAGGGGTAAAGGGGAGAGCGCTAACCCTTGGGGGTATCACCTCCTGTGGGAAGTGGTTTTTGAGCTGAACATTAAAGGAATTTGGGGATTCCCAGAGGCATAGGGTGAGAACTCCTTCCAGTGTAGACAGCAACTCACCCACCTCTTCGTTCTGAACAATTCTTGTCTGTGTTTTCACATAAATCTGCCAGAGAGGATAATTGCCTAATGTGCTGTAGGAGACTTTCTTCTGGTTCTTTGGATATGGATACCAGTGTAGCAGGCAGGCAAGTCATTGGTTGTTTCTTATTCTCTTAACTTTTACCATCATCTATGTCCTTGATGATGCAATATGTTTTGCATGACTACACATGTATAACCTATATCAAATTGCTTGCCTTCTCAATGAAGGGGGTGGTGTGGGAAGGAGAGAATTTGGAACTCAAAATTCTAAAAATGAATATTGAAAATTGTCCTTGATGATGCCCTTTAACCTGACTCCCAACATATCAATTGTGATTGGTGATACACTGCAGCCAATGGCTTACCCTTATCCGTCCGTTGCTCCTTGAGTCACCTCAGATTTGGATTCTTCTGAAATTAGGGTGCCTGATACACAGTAAATGCTTACTTAATGAACAGTTGTGGGCCATACTTGTTTTATACTTCACAGTCATGGGGCATCACCCAGAGAATAGCAGTGTACATGGAGAAGCACAAATAAGTTATCAATGAAAGGTATGTGCAGTAGGTGATGTAGGAGTTCTGAGGCAAGTCACTTCCCTTTCCTAGGGCTCAGCTGGGGTTGCACTAGATGATCTTCAAAGTCTTTTTTTGCTCTGACATTTTATGTTGAGGGAGATGTAGATTACTGTGAGAAGTGCTGGATTTGGAGTTTGGGGTCTCTCTAAGACTCATTTTCCTTATTTGTAAAAGGAGGAGGGTAAACTAGATAATTTTAAGGGTCTTTTCCAGCTCTAAGTGACTTGGTGTACTAAGGGCACTCCCAGCTCTGACATTCTATGTTCTAAGGTCCCTTGTCCAAGTTGAAAGGGTCATTGATTTAGAATGGAAGAAACCTGAAAATTATCAGTTCTGGGGCAGCTAGATGGCGTAGTGGATAGAGCACTGGCCTTGGAGTCAGGAGGACCTGAGTTCAAATGTGACCTCAGACACATGATACTCACTAGCTGTGTGACCCTGGGCAAGTCACTTAACCCCAACTGCCTCACCAAAAAAAAAAAAGCTGGTTCTAATTCTATTATCTAAGTTAGCACAGGTCAAAGTCTTTTCCAGCTCTAATATTCTGTGTTCTAGGGTCTGAATCAGGTCTACTACTCTATGTTCTCAGATCCCTTCTAGCTCTGACATTCAGGGTTCTAAGGTCCCCTCTAGCTCTGCTGTTCTATTTCTAAGGTTCTCTCCAGTTATAAAGTCCTTTCTGGCATTTTATAACTCACTGAAGCTAGAAGAGAGTTTTCTAGAAATAACACAAATCTGTTTTTTAAATAGAACAGGATAAACCATTTCAAAAAATCTTTTGGATTATCTGGGTTACTTCTTACGATAGGTCGGCCATCAAAATCAATATAAAACACTGACCAGTTTGCTCACCCACATGATTTCCTTAGCTAGTGCAGGGAATTCACAACAATCAATAAGTTCATTTAGTTTATACCTGGTCTAAAAATACTTTATCTGCTCAATGTGAACGGATGAGTAGGTCCTGAACTGTAGGCTTTTGTCCTGGCCCTACCTTAAATCTCCATGGCACATTGGGCAAGCTCCCTTCCCCTCTCTTGGTCTCAATTTTCCATTTATAAATGAAGGGCCAGCCTAGAGGGTCTCTAAGGGCCCTTGCAGCTCAAGCATTCTCTAGTTCATTGATTCTACATATCTCTTGCAGCTTATGCATGTTTTATCTTCATCTGCACCTGGGAGTTGGCCCACTCTTGTTGCTGGTGGGTAATGTAGTCAGCTATGTGCTCACTCTCACAATGAGGGGAAAAGGAGAGGAAAAGCAGTAGAGAGGACGGTCTCTGGCTTCCAGGAGCTCATGATATTTTAGGAACATTTTTTGATCCCTTTTGCTTTAACATGTCATTTCTGAAAAACAACAAATCTTTGTTCTTTTCCAGAATGGCTTCTCCTTTATATATAAAGAAAATGAAGACTAAATGCAAAAGCACTTGATATAGAGACTAAATCTGATAATATATATGTGTGTATATATACATATATATATATATATATGTATATATACATATACATATATATTATATATATATCAGTCAGTCAAACTAGTTTTGATGTGAGGTATGTGAAGGTGTGTATTTCATCACCTGTTCTCTGGGACCATCACTGGGTTTTTTTCAGTTACTCAGAGTTCATTTTTCTTTTAGTGACCTTTTGATTTAATCATTGTGGACAATGTTCTCTTGGTTCTGCTTATTTTCTCAACATAAATTCATAGAAAGCTCATGTTTCTTGGAATTTTACATATTCCTCATTTCTCGCTGGGTGATAATGTTTCTCTGCACTGATGTTCTATCATTTTTTTTAAGCCATTCCCCAGTCAATGGGCACCCATGTTATTTCCAGTTCTTTGCTACTACAAAGAGTAGCTGTTGTAACAATGGTGGTATATTTGAGACTTTTGTTTTTGCTTTTACCTGGCACATGATAGTAACAAAGACAGAATTTGAACTCAGATCTTATGTTGCCCAAATTCCACCTCACTATACCAAGGGAGCCTGTTTGAGAGAGAAAGGCATGGGCTTAAATTTGGACGTGTTAAATTTCTGGTGACATTGGAACTTCCAAGTGGAAATGTCTCTAGGCCCAGAGCAGTTAAGTGATTTAAGCTCGTACAACTTAGAAGTAGCAGAACCAGGATCTGAACTCAGGTCTTATGACTCCAGGTCTACTGTTCTTTCCACTGTACAATCATTACCCCCTCTTGATACCTGAATATATTTTTCAAAGTATTTAGAACCTAAAGGGCTTTCTTAGTGGTCATTTAGTCCAATTCCCTCATTTTAAAGAGGACAGTGAGGTGCCTCTCCTTCACTTGGGCAAATCACTTAGCCTCCCTAAGTCTCAGTTTCCTTATCTGTAAAAATGAAAGGGCTGGAAGAAATGGTCTCCAAGGTCTCTTTCACTTCTAAGTCTATGAATGACTTGGCGAGGTCATAGATGTGACCAATAGAGTTTGGACTGCAGCCTAGTTTCTTGGATTCCCTCCCTTCTTCAGTCTATTGTCTTTTTAGGGACAGGGAATCCCCTTATCCAGAAGGGTCTGGGAATTTCTATTGATATAAAGTCATTCACAAGGCAAGGTTTCTGTGAGACAAGCAGGCTGTGGGGATCAGTTTGGAGGTGCAGCCTCTTAACTCCTCTCTCCCAATGGTGTCTCAGTCAGAAGAAATTGAATTTTCATACATAGACAGGTCGCCATATGATGGACTGAGGACATCTTCTGATTAGCTCAGCAGGGGTCTGCAGCTCCATCTCCTATCCTATGCTTTTCCGTGGTAATGCATTTAATTATTCAAAAAAGGGAGAGAATTTTCAAAATTTTATGAAATGGTCACAAGATGGCGCCCTGGGACTTTGGACAACAGTAGGCAGCTGGTTAAAATCCAGTGTTTAAGAGGGCCCATGGATTCTTTTAGAGACCTTGACATAAGGTTTTGGTTATTTTTTTTTCCTTCGAAATGCAGCTTTCCATTTTTGAGGCCTGAATTTCAATGGATGCTAATGTTCTATCTCTGTGGCTGCCCTCTCTGCACTGGGAGCTGAGGCTAGGGACCGGGAGCTGTCAACAGTTCAAAGGTGGCAAAAGGGGTATTTTCTTGGGTGAGGCTCCTGGAATTTAGCTCATCTTGAGCAACCACCTCATTTCAAAGCTAAGGAAACTGAGGTACAGAACAGGGCAGTGACCTGCCCAAAGGTTCCTTAGGCAGTCAGTGTCAGAACCAGGAGTTGAACCTAGGAACTCTTGGTTTTACGATCTGGACCTAGCTGCCTCCGAAACAGGGCAGACTCCCCCCCCCCCGCCCCTTTCTCCTACCATTTATTTTTCTAATTGTTCCCCTGACCGTAT